AGGTGCTTGACGTTTGGCTCTTTGGCTTCTCACATCCTCGCTTGTTCCCTTTGCCAAAGGAGAAAAAAAGAAAAAAGATGGCCTCATCAGAAAGAATAAAAAACAAAAAACTTTTTTCCCCCCAACCAAACAGTGTTTTACTCTTACTGAGCTTCAACTTATGACACAGACAATCTCCAACATTAACACATTACTGCTGCAGCTGCTCCAATGTTCTTACCACGTCCAAAATCTCCCGCTTTTGTTCGTCCCTGGTCACCACAGCGGCTGCATCTGCAGAGCTGGAGGCAGTGATGAGCAGGAATACCTGCAGACTGAACAGGAGCAGCACAGATTTATTCATGGTGAAGTAAAGAGTCTGATGAAGCTGAGGAACATTCAAGGCTTTTTATCCTCACTGACAGCTCCATAGCTCCGCCCATTTCAGGAAGGGACGCCAAAACAATAAGTTGTTTATGATGAAATTGTGTTTCCTTCCCTCACTTTCTGATTTTGTGTCAATGCCACTCAATGGATCATTCAGAAGTTTATAAATAGAGCTGTAATCATTACTACTTTTGGATGGAAATCATGTAAAAAGAAAAAAGAGCTAATATGGAACAGTGTTGATTGTAGAAGATGGCCTTGAAGAAATGTTAGCGGTAGGAACTGAGTCTGCTTTAACAGCAGAAATAACTATTAATGTTGCAGCATCAATATTATTTAGAGCTTGAAGAAAGAGTTAGAAAACAGGAACTTGAAAGGTAGAGATTAAATGTTCTTCTGTGATGTGAAGCCAAAGTAGCCGCCGAGTTCAGGGCATTAAAGGCAAGACCTGCTTAAGGAGGGTATTCAGGTCAGACTCTAGATGATCAAATTTAAGAAAACATTTAATGACTGCTAATTTTCTGAGAGACGCTTTACAGATCCAGCTAGATCTACAGTTATATTCAATAAATTGAAAATTAATGAAGAATTTATGTATTTCAGTATCTCAGTTTACAAATCAAACACATTATATAGATTCATTCCACACAGACTAATGTTTCAAAGCGTTTATTTCTGTTATTGATGATTTCATTCCTGCAACTGATAAAAACATGACATTCAAGATCTGAATATTGCATCAGACCAACAAATAAAAATTGTTGGTCTTACACCCGCAGAAACAGATATAAACAGGCAAGATAGATGGGAAAGAACAAGCCATAAAAAAGAAAGAAGGAATGAGGGCAGTGAAGGAATGATTTTAATTGACATTTTGACAGAGATAAAGTGACAGGATGTGTTTCCACGAATTTGTGATTCTTGGTAATATTACTCAAGGCCAGGTATTTTGTTTTCTTTTTTTTTGTTTACTCAGACATGTTGAAGCAAAGTTGCAATTGTAGAAGAGTTTGCCAAGGTACCATGTCAGATCACCACAGCGAAAACAAAAAAGAAAGAAAGAAAACAGGAAAATTTAGTTCATATCTCAGTTTTATCTATAAATCCCACAGAAATTATTTATTTAATGGCAATTTTTAGTCAAACATCTTTTGGAGAATTTTGTTCAATGATGAGCATTATTGAGTATTATTGTCACCAACTTGTAAAGCCATTGATGGAGGGCCTTATAAATGGAGACTTGCTTGATGATTGGCATTGATGAGCCGTGGAACAATTCTGATAGGCTGCAATTGAGGTTCATACAGCAGTGAGCAGATGAAGTTTGAATTAATGTTTCAATTTATAATGCAACTCTTTTTTTTTTTAGGTTGAATTTGGTATTAGCCATGGATTAAACTTGTAACACGAGGAAATTTTAACATGTCAGGTTTTGGCATTTATGTTTTTAATCTGCTTGAATGGGCAAGTGATTTAATTTTATAGCAATAATGTGTACTTGCGACAAATAAGCAAAAAAACATTTGTGCAGGAGGGCATTCCAGAAAGCGGGTTCTGTGAAACTCTGAGTATGTTGAACTTAAATGGTAGTTTTCCATTCCAGAAAGACAGCTAAGTCTAACTCCAAGTAAATCACTATGTAACAGACTTGCTAACAGAGACATGTGCAAGAAGGTTTTGTTTGAAAAGAAAATGGAGTTTTTCACCTGAAGCTGAAATCTGGCGGGATTTTTAATTCTTAAACCTTGATGTAAAAGCTAGAATTTTAAGTTGTAGTCACTAAAATTCAAAGTTATATATTTTCATATCAGATTAAATTGTGTTAGATATTCTGCTGCAGCCTCAGACTGGGATTACATATCTTCCTCATGTTGATACAGTATACACACACACAGTCAATGAAAACAAAGCTTCAGTGAATTCAGAAGAAATTCCAAAATACACATTTTTTTATTTATTTCTGAAACATTCAGTGCATACAAAATAGGACTGAAGAACGTATTTGAGATGCACATTTTATTATTTTACTTTTTCAATTCTCTAAGATAGAAAGTAAACAGTTGATGTTTACTTTCTATCAGGGCCTAAAGTGATGCCTGAAGGCATGAAAGTAAATATTGCTTTGATCTCAGATTCGTGTTTGGTGAATCAGACAGACGCTTAGTTCTGGGAATTTGAGTCTAACGGCAATAGGGAGAAGTATTACCAGTGGCAGAGGGTGTGGATTGACAGTAATTACAAATTTGGAGAAGATAAAGACGCATTACAGTTTCAGTGGTTGTGTAGTACAGCGCCCTCGTGAGGTACATGCTAGGAAAGCTCTGTGTTGGTCTGCTAAATTTGTCATGTTGCCAGCTTCCTCCTCTCAAAAATATGAGTTATGAATAACCAATAAATCTATCCTAAATTGTTTCAAGGAAGCATAATGGGTCCCCTTCAATAGTTTTACTGTTTTTATGCAGCTTCCATATTTGAAAGTTTTATCCTTTTCTACCAGGATTAACAGAGCAAACCAGTTACCAAAAGTCAAGGCCTAAAGTGGTTCCAGTTTTCAGATGTGGAGTTTGATTAATATGACAGATCCAGGATACATTATTGGAGAAAGTGAAGTCACAATTATTTCACCATAACATTTAGAGCTGACAAAGAGCAGCTTGTGTTCTCTAGCTTTCCTGACATCACAAGTTGAAGCAGGAGCTCGATGGTTTGCCTTGAGGGTTGAGACTGAGTGACAAAAAGATTTCCAAGAAAAATAGATTTCCAAGAATTTTGTTCTTGTTTAAACCATATCTGTATCTCAGCATGTAAAAGTTAATGATGGTTGATTTGTAGTCAGTGATACACAAACTCTCTTTTGTGCAGAGACATGCAGAGATTTGTAAAGAACATGCAGGTGTTCAACATTTAAGAACAGGCTGTGCTGATGAGTTGCTTACATTTCCAGTTAAAGATTGAGATGGAGGTAATAACAAAACTGATGTAAAGATGTGACTAAAGATGTAATTTAACTTCCATAAAAGTAAAAAATGTAACTGAGTAAAAACAAGTGATTTTAATAATGATATAGACATATTTTTTTTTATCAGTAATGCCATGTCATAATTAATGGAAAATCTTTGCTTTTTGGACCAAATTAAACCAACAATCATTCCTTATTAAAACTTTCTTTGTAGCAACCACTTGGAATAATACAGCCAAATTCAGGGAGCTCCAGTCAGGTGAAGTTTAATCTCGTCTGTGCTTGGACATGTCTAATCCAACAAAAACTAAACAAAGTTTAGTCACGGTAAAATATAAAGGCTCTCATTTTCATTGAGAGCCTTTAAAAACAATATAAAACCAAACAAATAAAATTATACCAATCAGTTATCACAAAAAGAAAACGTAGTGTCTAACCTTTCAGGATATGCAGTTTTCCTTTTTAAACAAATAAACTAACGAGATTAAGTCTCTTTTCAAATAAACAAATTACCGTTATCACAAAACACAACTGTGCAAATTTATACCTTATTCTGCTTTCCAAATGGGCTATTTTCAAGATTTTCTTCTGGTACTTTTAGTAACTCTTGCTTGTCAATGTGCTTGGTAAAAACAGAAAGTGCACCATGCCACAAAAAAACACAACTCTTCAAAATAAAACCACAAATGAACACCATGTGTCACTGTTGGACCATCGAACCAACAGGAGCATTTCAATCATTTGGTTTCATTTATATTAATTACCTTTGTTCAAAAGTAATTAGGAGATCTACTGCCATCTGGTGTTAAAAAAAAATATCACACATCCTTCAAATTTAGGTGGAAGATCTTAAATTATTCCACTATGAGTGCAGTGGGATTATCAGCAGACATTTTGACAGCATCAGTTATATGTGCATTATGGGATAAGATCGGTGGCGTATGTAAGATTTTTAATCCTGAATTTTTTAAATCTTGAGAAAGACAACAGATCCCAACAGAGAAATCCAGGCACATCCAGTCAACTCAAATTAGCACCGCATCTTAACGTCAGGTCACACACCTCCTCTTAATACAGAACCACTTTAAACTTTACGCTCTGTCTTTCTTAAAGGACAGAGCATAAAGGGAATTAAACGATTTGTCAATTCTGACAAATCGTTTCAGGACTATGTTTCTGACGTGAAACATGGGGCTGCTAAAGTAGAGCCAGTGGAAAAGGGACATTAGATTATATTTGTGGACAAATCCCCTTCCTGGAAGTTTTTAGTCCTTCTTCTCTTCTGTTTTTTTACACACTTAATGCATTAAGGCCTTAGTTGTAAGCTTGTTCCTCTGTGTTTGGGAAGATTCATAATTTTTTTTTTTTAAAGAAATTTCTGATTATGTTCTCTTAACATCTTTTGGTGCATCTGGATTATTTTTTCTGTATTCTGTCAAGTTTTCCTCAGAGAACGACCAGAAGAAATTATTCTGTGTGCAAACAATGTTGGAAGGTTGATGAGTCTTTCTGCGACAGCAGGGTTCTATTTTTTCCCCCGTTTGAGAAGAATTACACGTGACCGTTTGTGTAGATTTGTTATGTAACTTCCTTATGTAAGTATGGAAATAGCTATCAGTACCTGTATAAAAACTCAATCGTTCCTCAGCTCCGTCAGACTCAGCAGTTCATCATGGACAGATCTGTGCTGCTCCTCCTGTTTGGTGTGCAGGTCTTCCTGCTCACCGCTGCCTTCAGCTCTGCAGATGCAGCCGCTGTGCTGAACAATGATGGATGAGGTTATCGGCCTTTTCCGGAGGTAAAAAGCCTGGAGAAGCAGCTGCAGTCGTGTTAATGTTGTAGAGAACTAAAGTTTGAGAAGTTTATCAATGTTTTTTGGACAAATCATTAAAAATAATGTTTAGAAATTACTCTTGAACTAAAGGAAAACTCAAAGGATATTAATCAGCTTTATGAGCTTAAAGAGTAAAGTTGAGTTAAAGGCAGTCATCCAGTGTTTTTTGAGAACAAGTCTTTTTTTTTGGGGATAAATATTAGCAGATGCTCAACTCTGTGCAAAATAAACTCCACAGGACTGTCTTGACTATTTTGATTTTACTACAGAGATTGAACAACGTTCAGGGAATGAACAGACCTATACCCAGATTTTATGGCCCCCAGTGCAGTGATTTTCATGATTGCTCTGGTAAGAAGTGCATTCACAAACTGACATCTTTCTTTTACATTAACAATCCTGATTAAAATAAATTTATAAGAAGTATGTGGTTTTCTGTCTCAGATTGTATATTTACAAGAAATCAGATATTCCGGCTTCACTGAACAATAAAAAAAATAATTCACATTTTATATGTCTGCTGACAGCATTCATGTTTCTGCAAACATAACAACATAATTCAGGTTCTTTTTTTTCTTTCCCTAAAAGGGTGGAAGAACCACAAAAAACCCAACTTGGATGAAAGAGTAAATATTCTTAATCCTGACATTTATAGACAATGTTTATCCATGGATTTATACATGGTGGAAACTTTCAAATGTGTTTTTTTTCTTGCTTATCAAGTCTCTGTTTTGTTTCCGTGACCAGGAGAAACCCAAGTGGGGACCCATCGACTTTATTGTACCCAACCAGGTGGGATACACTAAAGTCTAACTATTTTTACTTTATTAGTTTATCTCTTTATCTGTCATTCTGATGTATTTTCTAACTACCTTTAGTAATCTATTGTTTTAAAGGCATGACTAATTGTCTGTCACAGTAAACAGTACAGCATCTCTCCTATTAAAACTGTGGTGTCTGGATTTTTTTCCATCTGTAATCATAAAGGCGTTTCCAAGTTTCCTACTCTGTGCTGTGCTGTTTTATTTTGTTTTCCAGTTCAGAGAATTTCCAGCTTCCTTTTAAGTTTGCAATTTTGATAAAAATATTATCTGTACAGCACTTTTCACAGATAAAAATCAGCAAAGTGACAGTAGTCACTGAATAAAATCTAGTATACTAAAGCTGATAAGAGGAATGTAATCAATTTTCAAAATGGAATAAATTAAATATTGTTACTGTTGTTCCCTTTAATCCAAATTAATGCACTTTGGTTTATTGGATTTTAAGACTATTGCATTTAGGAGGAAGTTGATGAATGCCTGATTATGTGTACTCACTGCCTTGAGATGGGTATTTGCGCCAAAACCTCCTAAATGTGATAAGCACCCTTAAAAATAATCACCCAACAATCATTTAAAATGTGTTTTTAATATAATAAGCATGAAAAAATAACAGACGTATTTCCTTGAAGCATTTCATTAGGATGCAAAGCAAAGATTTACTTGAGGTATTGCAAATAAGAAAGTTAATAAGGACAAATATTTTTGGATTTTTATGTGTTGGCAAGTTGTTTCTATCATCCATCATGCTTTCGTCAAGATCAGAATTTCCTTTTTGGTTTCTAAATAACAAAAGAAAGATAGTTAGATCAACACAGGATCATCAACAAAGGTTCTGCCTCACATTGATGAGTACATTGAGAATTTAGGAGTTACTTTAATTGAGCCTTTTTAGGTTTTGTTGTTTTGTTCTTGATGAAAGAAAAGCTTACCACTTTGAAAGAATTACAGGACCCAATCTTCCACCCACAGCCTATGGCTCTTGGAAATGCCATCCTCTCCACCCCTTTGCCTTCTTCCTTCTGTGACCAAATGGAAAAGAAATCTACCATTTAGTTATGTTATATCAGAAATGTAAATAAAATTCACAGCACTTTATGTCTTAAGCATTTCAGTGAGACTTCCTGTCATCTTACCAGATCAGTCAGCTGTTGATCATCTTGAAGGACAGCAGGTTTCTCCGAAGATGGGAATGCTGTAGAGAGCAGAAAAACCTGCAGAAACAACAGGCCCAACAGTAGAAACTTCTCCATGGCTGAGAAACTGAAGGCTGTAAAGGTGTTTATATACACTAGCAGCCAAACACTTGCATGTGAACAAAGAGGAAGTTTCGATAGAACCAACCTTACTCAATCAAAAGGCGTCAGAGATTTTTCCATGAATCGAACGTTTGTTACTTCTGAAGACATACAATATCTGATGTTTTTGGTGAAGCAATGCAGAATGTGGAAATAAGAAAGTTTGTGTCTATCTCTACACCGATTACAGTCACAACCATGTTGTGACCAAAGACAAATTATAGTTCAAATATTACATTTGAAATATAAACTTTGGTTAACTGACTTTTAGTCAATGTAAAGGTAAAAGCAGAAATGCTACATTTGTTCATCACAGACATTAATAATGAGAAACTATTTTTCTTTTTAAATGGACATTATCAACAAACACCAAAAAGCGTTACATTTAAACTACCTTTCAGATAATCTATATGGTAAACAACTGCAGTATTACCACAGTACCACGGTCATTCTGTTATTGTTTTTGTTTGAAGACATTGTTTTATATTTTAGTTTTCAGTGCATTATTAATGAAGCAGGAAAGTGTTCCTTCAAAGTTTAACACATTTTAATTAAATTGATATTATTATTATTATTGTTGTTGTTGTTATCTTTGAGCTTTTTTATTATTGACAGTGTTTTATTGTATCAGATTCCTGGTTATTGTTTTGTTTTTGTTTTTCTACGTGCATTTTGGGTTTAGAACTTGGTATATCACAGAGAAGCTTTCCGCTGACAACTTTAGTTGTTTTCAAATTAGTTTCCTCAAAAGCCTAGACTTTTAATTGACCATTACTTCCTTATATCTTGGAGAACGCAGGGGCTTTTATGAAAAGAGTCCATGGCAGCTCGCCACTGCGTTTTCAAGTTGAAAAGTGTTGTTGAAAGGAGTAAAATTGCTGCAGAAACAACAGGAAGAGAGATTGTCATGTAATGGTGCAACTTCTATGTTTGTGCTGACATGGGCTGTGGCAAAATGAGTCTTGGTATTTGACCATATTGTCACAAAGGGGTGTAGAAATCTAATTGCACCACCAACTTCCCAAAAGGCAACAATAAGTGGGCAAAACAATGTCTGTCTGTTTTGTCTGTTCGTCCATCTAGAAATCAATTTTAGCAATCATTATCTGCAGAAGTTGCAATAGTATTGATAAAATCTAATCGTGTGGACAAAGCAAATGTTTGTTATCCTTATACTTTTGTTGTAGTTGAATTTCTACTCATGTCACAACCCGTGTGGGAATCAATATGATGACATTAATTTCCAGTTTTTGCTTGTGACATTTCCACATTTTTTCTACTTTGCATCACTTCTTTGCATCAGATATTTTCAGAAATGTTCAGTCGACCAGTGAGTGTTTTTTTTTTTAATAAAAATTATTCTTTTGCTTCTCATATTTATTTTCTTACCTCATCAGATGTTTGGTGTAAAATCACTGCATGTCTTTCAGTTTGGTCATACCTTTCCATTCTGTGAGGTGTTAAGGTGAGAATGTATGAATAATGAATAGCAGGGAGTCATTAAGACAATGCAAACCAAACACACAAAACTGCAAATACAGCAAAATAATCTCCACTTATTAATCATTCAAGCCATTGATAAAATAATAACATGTCCATTTTAAACACACATTCATGACAGCATCTTAAAACGTGATTACAATAGCCAAAAATACATTTCTTGTGGAGTGGAGCAGCATGTAAACAAACTGGTTGCTGGTTAAATAAACCTGAAATGTAACTAATTACACTCTATATGTTGGAAAACCAGAATTTAATTTAAAAATTTTAATAAATTGTTACATGAGAAGATAATATTTTTCAAGAACTGACTTAACATGTTTTGTGAATTATTTTCTCATTATATATTTTATGCAGTTTGACACTTTGCACAAGGGTTGAGGAATCAGGGAAATTTTACTCCAAGATTCCAAGACTAGACTCTTTACATAAAGCTTTTTGGGAGAAAAAAATTTACAAAAAAATTCAATCAGACGTGATCAAATAAACATCCGTATATTTAAGCAACTTTATAGAATCAACCAAAAATGCTACAAGTAAAATCTCAATAGTGAAGATTGTCTATTGTGAGGTATTCAGAACTATCTAAACTGTTCGGGTCCAGCTGGTGGGTACTGATACTTGTTTTCTTCTTTCATTTACCATCTGTCTGAAATTTAAGTCAGACATTTCGACACAGTGGTTTTGACATATTATTCCAACATTGTCAAAGAGTGGAAAATTTCTCTTGCTTTTCTGTTTTATCTGCTGAAAACTCCAGCCTCAAAATAAAAAGTGCATGTGTTTCAACTGCACTTGTGGACAGAAGAATGTGCTGTTTTTATTTTTACAAACAGGACCATGTAAAAGTATGTCTTATCTTCACAGTTTTCATAAAATCTTGAAATCTCAAACAATGAACTTGTACCCACATGTAGGCAGAGTTCCTGTTTTTCACTCTCACGCTCTGTTCCTGTGTGCTTCAGCCAGTGCAGCGAGCAAAAGGGTCTTCATTAAATACATTACATGCCTTCCTCGTTGTTTACTAATGTTTCTGTTTTGTCCTCAAATTATATTGGGATAATTTACTTGCCTTGTCATCAAGGATTCAGGCAACACTCCACAGCAATTTGTGTGACTTTGCTCCATTCGTTGTTTTCAGATTTTCTCTCACGTTAAACTCTTAGTTGGTTATCCCCCTCATATCACTGCCATTACTGTGTCTTCCAAAATCACCTTTTGACTGCAGGACGTCACCTAAACCATTTGCCAGCTCAACCTCTTTCCTTTTTACTATTCAGACTGTGACCTATCAAATTGCGAAATATGTTTTTTACATTTCTGCTTTTGCTACAAAATCTCAAATTCCATTTTCTCCCAAAATCACCTGTTCCCTCTTTTCCACCGACTAAATTGAAGAAACTTGATGTTTCTTTGATCTACAATACTAAGCACTTTTTTCTTAGCTTTTTATGATAGTTTGTGTGTTAAGAATAATCAGAAGAATGTGATGAAATGAAAGTTAATTTTCATAAGATAAAAGGGTGAGTAGTGTGTGATTATATGTGTGTAAGAACATACATGTATATGCATGTGTACTGCATGCATGTGTGCAAGTACATATGTGTATATGGAATATATGCTAACCAGAAATCATTAATATATTACCATTTATAATGGTAATATACCAATGAAAATTCATGTTGCATTTGTAATTTATTGAGAAAAACTAAGTAACCAAAATTATCATTGTTGAAGAATTATTGAATTTACTATGTGAGGCATAATAAGAGGAGTCTAAAACTTTGCGTTTCAACATTTGGAGTTACAACAGAGTTTCTACCAGGAGCATCTTCAAATGATGACAGGACGTTCAGAAACTGTGTAGGAAAAAGTCACACCATAGTGAGCTTTTCTTCTGACATTCTTTGGACTACAATGACTGCCCCACAATGAGAGATTTCACTTTAAGTGATGAAGTGTATCAGGGTAACACATAGGGCATGAGTCAACTGAAAACTCTCTGAAACATTACATACTGATTCTCTGATAATATAAGGACTGCAGATGATTGAAGACATTTTCCAGCGATGCATCCTCTGGTAACTCCAGAGACATAATACAAAGCTCTGTGACGTCAACCATGTTGGTTCCTGATTGACTTTGGCTGAACAGACAAAGCATTAGGATTAACTAAGCCTGGCTGTTAGCCTGGTCTTTAGCATGCCGCACAGGATAAATCATGGTAAATTTTGTGCTAGTGTTTTTGTGAAACCAAGTTCAGCCACAATGTCCAGAATATCCCAGCTTTATCCACTATACTCGTTATGTTGAACATGTTGAATCATGTTGTTTCAATCATTCAGCTCATATCCACCACTATCAAGCCACAAACATGACATCTGGCTACTGATAAATCCAAGGAACATTCCAGGAAGAGTGTTGTAACAAGCTCCAGCTCTGAATCAAGATCTTTATCTTGTCCAGTCTGTTTGGGGACTTTTTGTCCTATCCTGTATATTCTTCATTTTCCTGATTTATTTAATCTCCCGTATGGTAGAATTATTTAATCTGCACATACCTATGCTGGCTGATGCCTACTTCCAGGGGCTTATCAGTCAGAGACAGGTTGTACCATGCACATGTTGCCAGTATTACATAAATAAAAATAATGTTATTGTTTCACACTGATTCTTTTAACAGTGGAAACTGTAAATGTGAAAATGGATTCTGAAGCTGTTTGTGTGATGATCATTTTAATCACCACACATTCCCTACTGGACCAAACATCAGTCTGCAAAATGTAAAACTAATTCAGCAGCAATAACCATGAAATGTATAAAGAACACATTGTTCATACATTATCTTGTATGAACAATGTATACAATAATGTTTATGTCTTAAACATAAACATTATGTTTAAAATTATAATGTTTAAACATCAACGTTAAACATTAAATCATTATGTTTAATCATTGTGATTTGACATAATGATTAGTTAAATCAAATCACTGGGCTTCTCTGTTGGATTTTATTGTATTTAAAATCAGGATTAAAAAACTTACATGCGCCACTTGTTACAAAATGAGGAACTCCCAACTAGATCAGTGGGTGCAAAGTTCTCATCCTATAATGCACATACAACTGATGGTCTCACATTTTTTACTAATAATGCCACTGGGCTCATAGTGGAATAATTTTCAACTCTTCCATTGATACTTCAATGTGTAATATGCTGTTTTACTACCAGATGGCACTCGATCTCCTAACTACTTCTGAAGGAAGTCTCTGTCATGTGATCTGTGATCAATGCTGTCTTTCCATTCCTGTAGCCGAAGCAGGAAGTCTCTGATTACTGATTTTAAAGTCCAGATGAGAAAAGCTGAACTATCTATGCTGGTTCTGACTCAGTTCTGCCTCAGTTCTGCAGGCTGGTGTGTTCGGACTGGCAGAATATTTGATCTTCACCATCAATATTTTTGGCAGCGGTATTTTTGGATTTATTTGTTCTTCATTAGCTTGTGTACTCAAAGATGATCAGAAGAGTATGAAATTTCCAGATTTCTAGGTTAAGTTTTCTTGCTGTGGTTTGCAGCTTCTGTGTTTGGTCTCAGATTCAAGCGATCTTTAAATCAGGTTCTTTTTATTAACTGTCTCACTCTTTAACTGGTTAGAAATTCATCAAAGAGGGAACATATTGTTCAAAAGCAGCTGGAGAGAGAGAGCCAGTTTTCTCTATTTTACCAGACACAATCCAGTCAGACATTAACATTGAAAAGACAGCTTGAAACCTGAATACAAATTCCTCTTAGATAATCCACCAAGATGCAAACAACCTCCCTTGTCTTTCCAAGATTACTGTCATCAATTCAAGGAAAACATGAAACATCTTTATCACTTGATTAATATCACATTTTGAAACAACATTGTCAGGTTTAACACCTCAGATTAAACAAACACAGGAAAGACAAGAGAGTTAGGTTCTTTCTTACGTGCGAGGAGAACAGACAGTGATGTGCTTTTAGTTACAATCGCCTCCCACTCTGAAACCACATTTGCCTGCTCCTTTCTTTTTATTGTTTTTAGGATCCCTAATCACAAAGAACGCTGTAACTCTAAAGGGAGGGGAAAACACTTCATCACAAAGCTACAGCGCCAATGACAATCACTAACTAAAACACAAGGTATCTTGCACTTGATAGTCTCGTTAAAGATACAGGGTTAAACAGCAAGTTGTACATCTTCACTATGTGACCTGAATACAAATTGTCATAGTTTTATAGCAATCGAGCCGGTCAAAGAGGTTTTGCTTCCCGCCGAGAGATAACCCTGCAGAAATCTGTTGTCACTGCTTTTCTTCAGTGAGGCCTTCTGAGAAAGGAATCAGAGTAATTCAACAATACAGAAACATCCTTAACTCTAAGATGAAATTAAACAATAAAAGCATATAAGCATGTATCTTTATAATATACATTATAAAGATACATGAGAATAACAAATATTTGATCAATAACCTCACAATTTATCCAACAAACATAAAAAAGATGCACAAAGAAAAAGGTTTTTAATAAAATATGTAAAACCCCCATCATGCAATTTTTAAATTTTGGCTTCATAAGCAATATATGTGAGTTTAAATGTGACTTTATCATTCTAGGTAAGATATAAAACTCTGCTTCTTTCGTAGAGATTTTTTAATCCTTTCATCAATTTTTATTATTTATTAAATGTGTAAATTATGGTCTCCAAAGAATAATATCCATAAGTATTATTTAGTTTTATCCTAAAGGTATTAAATGTTTTCTTAAATTCAGTAAAACAAGCTTTGAAATTTCACAATGAAACAATGACAATCAAAATGAAAATATATTTCCATTATAGTACCCGAACTGAAATATAAGTGATTTAATGTTATTACCTTAGCATAAAAAAACAAAACACTCAAAACATTCTGTAAACTGGTCAAAAAAATAAATCTGAACATTTGATGGAGATGTTTAGACAAAAAAGAAACAAAATGGATTACAAAGAGTACTGAGACTTTAGCATATTTAGCAAAATGAAGACAAACAACAAATCTGTGTCACTTTTTTTATGATTGGATTGATATCTTTCCATGTTCTCAACTTATTAAATAAGTTTCACAAGTTGCATTCTCACAGTTGCGGTGTATGTTTTCTAAGCAAAAAACACAACTTCCTTCTTTGTGTAATTTAAAACAACAAAATCTATTTTAAATTAAAAAAAAGGAAAAAAAGTATAGGAATCGACATGAACAGTAAAAGAAACTGTTCCAAGGCACGTGCAAAGCCAGTCCCTACAGTGGACCTGGACTGAGATGTTCCCTTGTTCTTGCAAAGTTACTTTCATTAGTAAAATAAAAAATAAAAATACAGTTTCCACATGCTGGATACCCATTACAAATTCAAGAAAGGAGAAAGATAATCTGAATCATTAAAACAAAGGATCCAGTTTTGACTTCTACACTTTCAAGGAAAAAAATTAATAATTTTTTTTTATTTTGTCTCCTGGAGAACAAGACATGCCTCCCTGCTGTAAGGACTAATTTATATTTGATTATTTCATTTAGATTATACTGAAAACATAGAATATGAAAATGCCCATTATTGCAATATAAGTTAAACATACATACATGCGTAACATATTTTGTAAAATTAAGTGAAATCTTGATATAAATTTTACATTTGACATTTTTCTTTTTTTCAAAAGAGAAAAAGGTAAGAATATTTCTTTAGTAATATTTTGTTATAGATTGAAAATAATAGAAATAAGGAAACCCTTCACTAAATTGACAGAAATAAAATAAATATTTTACATATATTTTAGACACATTTGAAACTCGTGTTACTAAAATCCACAAAATGTGAAATATGTTAAAAGCATGTTACAAAGACGGATTAAAAAAACTACATATGCATGAAGCAAAAAACACAATGTTTTAGACTTTCCTTAATAAAAAAATAATCAAACTAAAGACAAAAAGGAATTTATATATGCATTGCATGAATGATGATCAGCTGAAGAATGCCAAAATTTTTGTTCATCTTTTGAACCAGCATGCTTGTGTTCTCACTGTAAAAACATAACATATATTTTGGTTAGTGGTTGAGTTTCAACAGAGTTCATAATGTATTAGTAAGAAAATAATTGTCTCTCTACAACTCATTCAATCTTCATTGTGCCTGGGGCCTTGACTGGATCATTTCAATGAACTGAAGAACTATTCGATGTCCATGTATTTAAGTATTGTGACATCACTGTTTTATTAAGGCTGTTTTTGTTGTTTGTCAGGAACTGAGGCTCTGAGTGGTGATTTTCTTTGTGTGCTTTGTCTCTGTTCTTTACTTTGTCCTTATCACTCCTCCCAACTGGTGAGCTTCTTTGTCTCCTGATCTTAAATATTTTAGCTTCAGCCTCAGTCAAATTAAAACATGTAAATATTTTTAAATGCCTTTTGCATTGCTTTGCCTTCCAAAAAATTTTGCAGAATTTATTTCAATCTTGTCTCCCTCCAGAAGATATATATGTCCTTTTACTATTCATATTTCCTAGAGTATAAGTCCAGGTGACTTTGGTTTTCTTCACTTATTCCAAACTGATCATAGATTTAACATCCTCAACTATTATGGTTTCACATTCTTATAGAAACACACCCCTGAGTGCCAGGGGTGTGCAAAATACAATTGCAATTGAATTTGTTTATCCTTATCTAATGTTTGTGTTTAAACATAGCATGAGAAAAATACCACATAATAAATATTAAGTATATTTAAAGCTATCTTGCTTTTTCTTGCAAAATATGTAGACCTACCTTAAAACTTAAAACAGTACTAATATTATGAAATCACTGTTAATACATAAATCTATTAGCACAAGTATTTGCATTGACGGATACAAAAAATTGACACAACAAAGCATAATAAGAAAAAAGGACGATCAAGAAATACAATTTAAACTATGAAAAAATAATATTAGATGTCCTCTTACCAGTACGCTAAAGATCTGTGGCTTTGGATCTACTAGAATAGATATTCTACTAGATCTTCGAAATATAGATGATCTTCAAAATGTAGCAAATCTTCCAGATCTTGTAGATCTGTTGGTTCATCTACATCAGTGGAAGATTCTTGTGAAGGTGATTTCTTTTTTGTTAACCTATCAACCGCTTTCCTTAGAAGTGATCTATTTTCTTCTATCTTTCTTTCTGGCCCATCTGCCTCTGCCATGTACCAATCTCCTCCTCTGATCTTTTCCATCCACTTTTTCCGCTTGGCAAAAGGCTCCCATTGGCTTGGGTTTTTGAGGAGTGTGTCGGCCTCCACAGATCTGAGGCGGACTGCCTCTGAAGAAATTGTTGTTTCATTGGCATCTGGTTTGTTGCCTCGGGCAAAAGCATGAAACAGGGAACTTTTGTCTTTGCTGTCTATGGTTATTATCTTGTTGTTGATAAGAACATCGTAGTGGCCATTTGGGTGGTTTGTACTCCTTGGTCTGTAGATCAGTGCCACAGTGTCAATGGTAGCTTTGCTACCTGGAATTATCTCCTGTAATTTGGTGAGTTGTCCATGTTTGTTCTCTACATGAATAATAACTTTTGTGGCAGTGGCCTCTGATAGGACTCTGACATCAAAAATTGTACCTGGTGTCTCTGGGTTCTTGATTTTGACAGCGTGCAAATTTGAGTGATTACAAGGATTTGCTGAACGTGTGGAACCTGGATCCAATGGCATATGAGCAATGTAACTGTTGTTCTGCCCAGCGGTAAGTTTTGCGTTTGTTCTGTCAGTGTTTAAAGTTGAGCTGATAAATTGGTTTACTTTCTTGTGAGCAATAGAAACCATATGACTGGAAAACTTCTGGTGAAACACTTCCACCAAAGCATCAGCCAAAAGACCACTGATGGTTTCAGCCAAGTCCTGTTTGAAAGCGCTCAGCAGCTCAGTGTCTGATGAAGTAAGATCAGTTAATGTAATCTTTTTATTGAAAAAGTTAAATATTCTTGATTGAAGGGAGTTTTGTTTCTCTGAAAACAAAACTTCCTTTTTATATATATCCAATTCTTTTTCAAAATTTGAAAAGAACTTTCCTAACATGGTAGACACTGTGTGGATGGCATCTGCTGCAAGTGCAGCATAGTGGGTTACTTGAATTGCTTTGAGAACTAGGTTTGTTTTCTTCAGAGAACATTTTCTAGCTGAATCATTGTTAAGTTTAGCTACCTTTATAGCTTTCTTAGCCTCATCTACAGCTGAGTCCAATATTTCTGTAAGAGATGAATTAAACTTGTCCTCCCACCTCAGGTCTGGTCTCAATGGTTCTATGGAAGTATTGCTATACTTAACAAAAATGTCCTGCAGTTTCTTCCTTTTCTCTTCATTGTTAAGTAGATCACAAAGTTGTTCTCTGTCCTCAACATGTGAAAGAATAATGGAGTTCACTAATGGCTCTTCTTCCAATTTGGATTTTACTTTTTCAGTAATTCCCTTCGTCACTTCATTTTTAATTCCTTTTAGTATTTGTTCAAGTAATTTCTCCTCTGCTTTTCCAAGTCCATAGGATGCTGCTTTCTCCACAATTTTCTTTGCTGTAAGTTTTAGAGCATTTTTCATGTTTGTCTTTGTGACAGTGCTTAAACCATTTTTAGCCTGATTGGAGAGAAACTTTGGCAATGGCTTCAGTTTTTTACCTATGGCTTTGATTGCTGCCTTGGCAGCCTTGAATCCCTTTGAAATTATTTTTCCAACTCCAAATGATAAGATGGAAACACCGATGGAAATGGCTTTTCCAATACCCCATTCTTTCCAGCTGAACTCTCCTTTTATCATGGCTGTAATACCTTCAGTGCAGTCAGATAGTCCTTCTGAAATGAGACCAATTCCAATTTGAGCCAAGGTACCAACTGTAAATGCAGTGAGTAAAGTTCCTCCAATAATCTGCAAAATTCCTAAACAGAAAACCAGCAGACCCTCCCAGCAGAAACGGGGCTTCTCCTCAACAGCAAACACATATTTCAGACCTCGATTGTAGAGGATGTAGGCTTCTTCTTGGAGAGCTTCATCAGCGAGTGAAATGAAAGAAAAAACTGAAGATTTTTTGGCTAAGGCATCTCTACCCTTTTTTTGGATTTCATCAAGTTTTTCGATGGCTTCATCGATGTTTTTACCAAAAAGGTCATACATGTTACACTTGGTAGTTAACTGTTTATCAAGAGGGGTCGGGTCAGAGTTTGCTGTGTCTATAGAAGACATTTTTACAAATTGCAAACAGATCATGCATTCCTCATTGAGATACTTTAATGACTCCTGTGCCTTTCTTAGATCTTCTATAGCCTTGTCCAGGTAATCGGTTTCCTCTCCTTTATGGTACAGTATGCATGATTGTAAAAAGCAATGGCTGCCCAACATTCATCTTTTGTCATGGCTTTTTCAAACAGTTTGGCACCAAGGTCCCATTTACCATCATGCAAAGCAATGTTTCCAAAATTGATGTAGTGATAAATGCTTGAACATGGGGAAGTTTGAGATGAAGACTCTTGCCTTGCCACAGATAAATCCTTCTTTAGACTTTGCTGAAGTTCACTCTTCTTCCGCTGCTCAATGTCTTCTGATTTAATTTGCAGCCAGATTCCCAGAACTCATTCATGATGGCAACAATAACTTTTCTATCATCTCCATCTGTTTTCTTGTAAATATCATGAAGAGTCTCACAGTACTCAGAAAACAGGTCCTCACGCAAATTCATCTCAGAAACGTCATCCATCATGGAACTTATCTTTTCTGCTGCAAGTCTGTCCCTCGTGATCTTGGCTTCCTCCAGAGACGTAGCTGACCTGAAGTCGTGCTGCAGGTGTTCAGTGCATGCAATGATCTGAGCAGAGCCAGGTTTCCCTTTGCGTGCTGTTCGACCAAAAGCCTGGAGTTCTACTCTAGTGTTTTCAGAGAGGAAGGAGAGGATGACAAATAATCCTCCATTATTGTTCACCTTTTTGGACACTTTAATGTCAGTGCCACGACCAGCAAGGTTTGTGGCAACAATAACATCCCCAGGCTCCAGCTCCTTGTCGATTTTGCTCAAACTTTCTTTGTCACTTCGACTGTAGAGGATGATTTCACCTTTAATGCTGCTTTTCAGTTCTTCATAGATTTCTTTGGCTGTGTTGATAGTTTCACAGATCACCAGGGCGGCTCTTCCCTCTCTGTATGAATTTGAGGAAATCTGAGACATGACAACTTGTTTTATTTCTGATTTCCACTCTTTAGAAGTTTTTTTCAGAGTTCCTTTGACCTCATATAGTTTCTTCCTGTTGAATGTTGGCATTCTGCATGCAGACAGACTTGGATATAAATCCTGCAAAAACAGAATGTCCTTTTGAGTACCGAGTGTTCCTGTGTGGTCCCATATATTTTGCCATGGTACTTTTGAAAAAAGGAGATGTTAGAAACGTAGTTTGTCACTGCTGAAATTGTGCTCAATTTGACTTGATGCTTAATCTCCACAAACTGCTGCAGACCATCCCCCATTTCTTATTCAGTTCAATGATACCAGTGGATCTGAAGTCTACTGGACAGATATTCTCATTCTCTACAACATAGTCCCGTCCTTCCTTCAACTGCTTTGCCAGAAAGGCATTCTCCACCCACAAACACATTTTGGTCTCAATGAGATTCCTCAAGAATCCAGGAATGCTAATTTTGTCAGTATTGTCTGTGCAAGGAGTGTACTGAATCTTCTCTGAGATTAACTCTGCAATGGGCTTGATGAGGACTTCTTCTGAGTTGTAGAGAGGACAACACAATCCTTCACCCAAGACAAGAAACTTTAGGTCTGGTATTTGATTGGTGTTGTAAGGACTGAGTTTTCTTGGACAAAGCAGTCCTTCCTCATTTAATGTGTAAACTGTAAAACCATTGGGGACATACTCCTCCATTTCTCCCAAAAAATTTATCACATCATCTTGACTCACAATTTTCAGCTTATTGAGGATGTCGTTCTTGTCTCCCTTATGGATGTCGTCTGTAAATCCTTGTGGTACAATGTTGGTTTCTTCTGCAATGTGTAAAATGTCCAGCGGATCATTAATTTCGCTTTCTTCTGTGTTTATTGAGTCAAAGATGGCCCTGAAGAATGAAGCAGGTGGACCCTGGACAAATGTCTGGTGTTCTGATGTCAGGAAGCCATACTGCTGGACATGTCCCCAGATCATTGCTAGAATAGTATTCAGGTGCTCCATGGAGACCAGGGGGCTGGACAGGTAGGTGAGCTGCACTCCCTGATCCAACAGCAGAGAATCCACTTCATCAATGATGATGCACTGATAGCTGCGATCAGGCCTGACATCTTTCATCTCAAATATCTGGCGAAGATGATCAGCAGCGAAGGTTTCAATTGTTCCATAGACAATGTCTTTTTTGTAGCACTCTTTTCGACTGCTGTCATCAGTTTTATTTGTGTTTGTGTCAACAGTAATGACAAATTTCTTGTAGAAGTTTTCCCATTCTGCTGCATCTCTTTGACACAAAACTGAAGAGCTGGACACCACATCTACCTTTTCATCCCTGAACACACGCAGTGCCGCAAACATTGCTATGACACAAGACTTTCCTTCTCCAGTTCCCATTTCCAGGAGTTTCCCAGTGTTGGACAAGGCCAAGAGGCACCAACTTATCATCTGAGTGGCTCTGGGGTAATACTTTTTTTCATCATGAACAGCATTGCATAACACTGCCAAGACCTCCTGAAGATCAGCTGTTTCTGTGCTGTTGCTGAGTTGTTTAGCCTTTTTTATGTCATTATGTTTCTTGATTTCTTCTTTTTCGATGAGTTCTGTCACATGAGCAACTATCTTCTGTGATTTATTCAATGTTTCCTCATCAATGTCATTCATCTGCCTTATTTCATCAAAAAGCGTGTCAATGTTTTTGATTTTCTCATCTTCCAGCGTTCTTGTAAATGATTGATTAGATGTTTTGTTTTCTTTGACTCCAAGAGTTTAATTAAAGATTCATTTTCCTCATTGTGCCACTTGGCGGAAACTTGATATGTTTCTATTAAATGCAATATCTTCATGATTGATATCCAGCCCTCATCATGATGATGTTCAGTTAATGTTGCAATGAGAATAAAGAGCTCATATGGCAACCAAAGTTTTCTGTTCCTCAAGATTTGAAACGCTTCGGATGATGTCCATTTGAAGGTCCAGGTCTGCAGGCTGTAGGCAAATAAACTCTCCAAACAAGTTGATGCAATGCTTTGTGGTTTTAGTTTTATGAGAAACCACTCTCAGAAGGTTTTCAATAAAGGTCAGGATGACCTCATGAGGGAAATTTCCTTTCCTGTGATTTTCTTCAGGATACCAAACATCCTACTCTTAGTGCATGCATCTTTGTTTAGGTTTGCATGAAGAGTCTGAAAAAGAGCAGTTGTAAATATTTTTGTTTGTTCCAAATCTTCACTGCAGAATTTACTCAAGATGTTTTGCAGGATGTCAGTGGGAATGTTCAGAAAATCATTTTTCTTTAGTTTTAACAGATCAAAATGATGGAATGCAGAGAGACATTCTCCTCAATTATAAATCCTCTGTTAAGCTGAAGAATCTGAGTTTTATTCGCAACCTGCAGATACAAGTAGTCAGACACAAAGTCATCGAGGGAACCATACACAATGTCAGCCTCATAGATTTTCCTAAAGGATGAATCGGTTTGTTCCCTGATATTTGTCCTGACAGATATTCCAAGGTTCTTGTAGAAGTCAGACCACTCCTTAGTTTGATCTTCAGGGTCAGAGTTCAGCACAATGTCCACTTTGTTTCCCAGGTAGAAATGTAATGCTGAAATCATGGCTATGACACATGAGTCTTGTTCAGCAAAAAACAGCTGCGGTATTTCAGTTTCCTTAATTGGAAGCAGCAGACACCACTGCACCATGTGTTTGATGTGGGCCACCAGCCTTTTGCATCAAAAACTGCTTTGCAGATCTGAAACAGGCATTTTGTTGATATTCTATGTCAAATATTTCACTTTTTAAAGAATCTTTTATGAATATTACTCTTTTGGTCCATCTTTTAAAACTGTCAAAACAGCAATAATCAATTTTTTCATTCCATTAATTGTAGAGTCATCTAAGTTCTCTGACACCTTTATGTCAGCCAGAGTTGCATCTACATTGCTAACTTCCTTCTTTCGGAAAACTGCTTGAAAATCGTGATAGTAACTTTCAAAATCAGCAAGGTGAAGAACTGTGTGAGAGAACATCCTGAATCATCTGTCCAGCCTGGTGATATCTCATAAACGTTTACCAATGAAAGGACTTTAGCTATAGAAACATCCTCTTGCCATTTTAATGACATTGCTTTGAGCAGATTCAAGGCCTTAGTTGGTGTCCATTGCTCTCTCTGCACAAGTCTATGGATCATCTCAATGGTTTCACTGTAGTTTTTCTTGTCATTGAATATGTGAGCCTTGATAAGAGGAGTCTAAAACTTTGCATTTCCACATTTGAAGTTGCAACAGAGTTTCTACCAGGAGCATCTTCAAATGATGATGCAAGGACGTTCAGAAATTGTGTAGGAAAAAGTTGCACCATAGTGAGCTCTTCTTCTGACCATCTTTTGGCTACAATGACTGCATCACAGTCAGAGATTTCACTTTTAGTGATGAAGTGCATCAGGGTAGTATATAGCGCATGAGTCAACTGGAAACTCTCTGAAACATTACTTGCTGATTCACTGATAATCCCAACCAAGGACTGCAGATGATTGAAGACATTTTCCCGCGATGCCTCCTCTGGTAATTCCAGAGACACGGCACAAAGCTCTGTGACGTAAACTTGTACATGCTGCAGAGTGCTGAGGGATGGGGGATTATTTCTCCATTCATCACTGAGAAGATTGTCCAGCGCCAAGACGATCTTCAGTAGCTGGTTATCTGTTACCTTGGTGATACTGAGATCTGAAATCTCAATATTATATTTCAGTGACAGAATTTCTAGAAACTCATCTTTGCCACTGTGAGTGTCGTTTGTTGAACTGATCAATGTGCCTAATTAGAACATTTACCCTGGTCTCTTTTTCTTCTGACAATTCATTTAGCTGTTTCTCATGCTGCTTTTCAGCTTGTTCGAGGGATGTTTGGAGTTTTCGATTCAACTCTTCTTCTTTTCTTTTTTTCCTCTCCTCTCTCCTTCTTTCCTCTTCTCTCCTTCTTTCCTCTTCTCTCCTTCTTTCCTCTTCTCTCCTTCTTTCCTCTTCTCTCCTTTGTTCTTCCCTGATTGGCTCATGGAAGCAGTTTCCACACTCATAATGATCATCATAGCCAACTGGTCTGTAATATTGTCCTCTATTGTAGATGTAGACATTTCGCCCATGGACAATATCCTTGTAGAAATCATCAAAGGTCATACAGGAGGCAATACTTTGTAACACTTGCAGCACTTCAGGGAGTCGCCCATGTTACTTTCCTTTGGTGATGTGTTTCCCATCTTGGAAACATTTATGGAGGACTCACGACAAAAATTTTATGCAGACTCAAGCTGTCCTACGAGGAAAGAAAAAAAAATCACATTTGAAAACAGAAATGAAATATTTTATACTTGATTAAATCAATAAATAAACTAAATAAGCAACAAATAAACAACAGTATTCATGGAAAGGCAATAAAGAGAACACACTATATTAATGTGTATCTAGATATACAGTGCCTTACAAAAGTTCTCATACTCGGATCAAAATATTTATTTTCTTTGACCTTTTAAAACAAGAACTTTTGATTCTGTAAAAATACTTCTGAATTTTATCAAAGTTATTAAGTTTTAATGGGGATCTTTGTACCTTTCTTAGCATTCACGTTTGTGCTTAGTTCTTGTTTGAGAATGTAGGTGTTTTGCATAGCCCATGGGGCAGTATTCATGTGTATGCATTTGCTCTTTTAAGAAACATATTTTTGTTTTGTCTTTTTAAATCTTTATTCACAGTTTGAAGATTAAGTGCTGTTTTACTTTGCCTTCTCATGATTTACAGAAGTTTTTTGTTACACTTTTTTTTGCTTTTGATTCTGTTTAAAGTTTTCCATTCTGTTGTGTCATTTCATTACCAAAATAATAAAATGAACAAAACATTTCTTTATAATTCCTGGATAAATTGAGGAATTTATTGAGGAATTGGAGGACTATGAAATGAGCTTTGAGATTGATCTTTAAGGTGTGAAAACCTTATGATGTTGATTCACTTCAAATGAGGAACTCTAGTGTTATTATATGTGCAAAACGATCTGATAATTACTAACAGAAACAAGGAAATGAAGCTCAACATCTGTGAAACTTGTTTCTTGGACTTATTTCTCTCTCATCTGAATAAGTTCAGCAGGTGGAGGATTGACAACTTTATTGTTTAAAAACTTCCTTGTACTTTTTGGTTTCACTTTCAGCCTTAGTGAGAATCTTTAAATGCTGTTATGGCATTTTGAATAAACACAATGACAAAATGCATTTGGTTCATGTTTGTTCTTGATTGACTTAGTACCTCATATTAAATAGGATTATTAATCTTTATAATGTTTCACAAAATAAAATGGTCATGTCCTCAGTCTTTCAGCATACACAGTTTTTGTTTTATACAAATGAATCAATTCTCCCATAGACATATTTTCTTGTGAGACTTTGAACTTTTATAACATAATTGAAGAGTTGATTCTGTATGAATTGTTTTGTTACTTATATATTTTATAATATATATTATATATTTTCTTTATTTAACTAAAGAGTGGGATTTTAAGACAACTTAATGCTTATTCTAAGATTACTGGACAACATTTGCAGATGCTTTTTCAGTGACAATTTTACACATATCCAGTTAGGCTTTAAAATGAATTACAACAGAATCTTCTCACATCCTGTCTGAGGAGGTTCACTGTTTAGAAGACATTTCAGGTTGCCCTGTTCTAAATGGATAAATTTGCACATTCATTCAGCTTTTACTTTCTACTAAACTCAACAAAGTAATTGTCTTTGGACACCAAATGGTTGTCAAATGATTTTGCTATAATAGTGTATGTGTGTTTAAGTATAAATTCACCTTTTACTCTTACTACATCAAAGTACTATGAATACTTTGATGTTGTACAACAGTTTTCTGTGCAAACAAGTAAATAACAAGTACTTTCATATATTAAAAGAACAAGGTGTTTGTACTTTTGACATTACAACTAACACCAGTCTTTTGAGTGCGTCATATGGAAAGTAAGACAACTGCAAACCTACCAGATGGTAATTTACCAAAACTGACAGGATGGGAAATAACAGCAGAGAATAAGAAGACAATGTACTCTGTTACTTGTGTTTTTGTAAGGCAGAGTAATCTAGAGCTTTATAGTCCAGCACAATGCTAACTTGCATTTTCTTAAATTATTTAAAGGTGAAATTGAAATTATTATTTATACTCTGTTAGTTTACCAGGAATAATATATCAAGCAAAACAAGTTGATGTTTTTGAGTAGCTTCAGTTTCTCATGACTAAAATAAGTTTCTCCACTATTGCGAAAACTTTACAATGTTTGCAAATCATGACATAAACATAAAAAGTGTTTTTTCACAACTGTCTCAACTGTGAATATGACAAACATAACAAAACTCATCTAGCCAAAGTTGCAAACATCTTTGTTTTTAAGTTAAACAAAAATGTTTCTTAAAGATGGGGTTTCACTGGAACTATTTTTTAGTTATTGTTAACATGTTCATTCTACCTCATTCTGTAGAGTACAACATCAAATGCTGCAGCAGCCAGTTGTAGTGATACAGCCAGATGCAGGGACTTCCAAATGGGTGCAGTTTAATCTGGTCTCTTCTTTTCATAGACACCGTGAAGACTGTAGCATAAAATGAAATGATGTAGCATTGTTGGACATGTTTAGTAAAAATCATTTTCAAGGCTTAATCATTAAGAAATATAAATAAATATCCTCAAGAGCCTTTTAAACCAAGTATACAACAAGATATTCTATCTCTCATATAAAATAAAACATGTTAACATTAAGCAAATACACAAACAACTGTGTTCTACTGCTTCTTAAATAAACAAGTAATATTTCTTATCACAAATCACCATAGTTAATATTTTTACCTCATTCTTGTTTCCAAGTGTGCTATTTTAAACCTTTGCGTCTGGTTCCTTCGGGATCTTACACTGTCTAATTGTGCTTGGTTAGCAAGGAGGTGCAGCATATCACACAGCTAGAGGTGGAGACTCAAGTCACATGGCTTTGACTCAGTCACTTCAGATTTGAATTGGACTTGAGCCTGTTTACTTGAGAACACTTGATGTTTTATCCAAAATTAATTATCAAGTGGGCCCCATTAATTCATTTTACTCATTCCGTATTAACACACACAGACTGTCCCTCTGTTTTCCAACACCAATCAAATGATCAAGATTGAAAAAAAAAAGCAAGAAAAATAAAAAACTTAAAGCAAAAACGTGACAAATTTTCTTTCGTGCATCAATTACGAAGCATCCAACAAAAAAGAGGGCAACATGCAAAAGCTGCAAGAAGAGGATCTCAGATGTAAATATGACGTATAACTTTGTTTGACAATTCAAGTTGTACAAAGAACTGTACTTTTTGTACACTTTTTTTGTAAACTTTTCTTTTGCTATGAGACAGTTGATGTTAGCCATCTTCATGTTGTAGAATACAGCAGTTTTGCTTTCCTCATCTTATCCTCATCACTGGAAGACTCAAGTTTAGGACTTGGGACTTGACTCGGCCTTTGCCCGTCTTGATTTGAGACTTGACTTGTACAAGAAACTTGACTCAGGACATCAGGATAAAGACTGGAGACTTACTTGAAACTGGCAAAACACTGACTTGTTACCATCTCTGCACATGAAAAAGAAATAGGTCGTTCTTCAAAATAAAAGCATAATTGATCAGAAGGTGTCATTGTTGTAGGGAGCACCCCGGGGGGATATGGGAACATATTTTCTTTTGCGTGACCTTGCAAAACTTTTGCGTTCGCTCGCAATAAGTCATTTTATGTCTTTTTGTGTAAGGCTGAGACGGAACTGCACTGAAAACAACCCTTTAAACCATTCAGACTACAAACACAAAAGAGATAAAATCTGTCAGATGACTGATTACCTGGGATAATAACTCTGAAACAGACTACATAGTTTGGATGTATTTTTTCTTTCTTTCCTACTTAGGGTCCATTTCTATCTTAAAAAAAGACTTAGTATAAACTTAATATATTTTACAACGGAATAATACATGAAAAAACCTCACGATAGCCTTAGGCTATATTAAAACAGAAAGTAGAAAGGGCACCATAAGAAAGGCTTACAATATGCTGCACGAAGTAATCAGAACATTACTGCAAGAGAACACAAAAGGTTTTTCGAGGAAACGCAAGCAATTCTCACTAAGGCTGAAAGTGAAACCAAAAAGTACAAGGAAGTTTTTAAACAATAAAGTTGTCAATCCTCCACCTGCTGAACTTATTCAGATGAGAGAGAAATAAGTCCAAGAAACAAGTTTCACAGCTGTTGAGCTTCATTTCCTCGTTCCGGTTAGTGTCCAATTATCAGATCGTTTTGCACATAGTTCCAAAATAACACTAGTTTCTCATTCGAAGTGAATCCACACCACAAAGTTTTTACTTCTTAAAGCTCAAAGTTTATGTCACAGTCCTCCACCACAAACCCTCCATTTATTGAAGAATTGTAATGAATTGTAATGTAATAAAATGTGTTCATTTCATTATTTGGTAATGAAATAACCATAGCAGAAAGGAAAACTTTAAACAGAATCAAAAGCAAAAAAAGTGTAACAATAAACTTCAGTTAAACATAAGTAGGCAAAATAAATCAGCACTTAATCTTCAAACTGTGAATAAAGATTTAAAAACATGAAACAAAAATAAGTTTCTTAAAGGAACAAATACACAAATATTGCTCCATGCGCTATGCAAAACACCTAAATTCTCAGATAAGAACAAAGCACAAACGTGACTATTTAGAAAGGTATAAAGATCCCAATGAAAACTTAAGAATTTTATCAAAGTAATTGGTAGATAGTAGCAAAGAATCAAAGGTCCTTGTTATAAAAGTTCAAAGTCTCACAAGAAAATATGTCTATGGGAGAATTGGTCATTTGTATAAAAACAAAAAACTGTGTATGCTGAAAGACTGAGGACATGACCATTTTATTTTGTGAACATTATTAATAATCCTATTTAATATGAGGTACTAAGTCAATCAAGAACAAACATGAACAACCAAATGCATTTTGTCATTGTGTTTATTCAAAATGCCATAACAGCATTTTAAAGATTCTCACTAAGGCTGAAAGTGAAACCAAAAAGTACAAGGAAGTTTTTAAACAATAACGTTGTCAATCCTCCACCTGCTGAACTTATTCAGATGAGAGAGAAATAAGTCCAAGAAACAAGTTTCACAGCTGTTGAGCTTCATTTCCTCGTTCCGGTTAGTGTCCAATTATCAGATCGTTTTGCACATAGTTCCAAAATAACACTAGAGTTTCTCATTCGAAGTGAATCCACACAAAGTTTTTACTTCTTAAAGCTCAAAGTTTATTTCACAGTCCTCCACCACAAACCCTCCATTTATTGAAGAATTGTAATGAATTGTAATGTAATAAAATGTGTTCATTTCATTATTTGGTAATGAAATAACCATAGCAGAAAGGAAAACTTTAAACAGAATCAAAAGCAAAAAAAAAAAAAAAAACGCAACAAAAGACTTCAGTAAAGCATAAGTGCTGGTAGACAAAATAAATCAGCACCTAATCTTCAAACTGTGAATAAAGATTAAAAAAAAAACATTGACAGCTGTTGACAAAAATAAGTTTGGTCTTGACCACTGCCTGAAGCACTTTGATTCTGGTCGTTATGGCAACGTTTACATATCCCTTAAAAAAGATACAGATGCGCCACAAAAACGATCATTTTACTTTTGTGAAAATTCTAACTGGTCAGAAAACCGCCAAACCCCTGCAGTCTCACTGTATTTACTCTATGATTTGGATATTGGGATTACCTAATTAAACTGGTATCAAGAGGGACTCATCAAGCCAATAACTACCTACAATGCGGGCACCAGCTAATGAAGCAATCAACTGAGTTGCCATCTTGTTTCATCACTGCAAAAGCCACACCTATTAATAGCAGTTCTTCTCTCTAATTAACAACAAGCACTTGTTATTAGGCTCGAGTATTTTTAGTAGTTTAACATAAGTATGGTGTTGTTTAAAATCAGCTAAGGTGAAAACCTCCATAATTTTAGAACTACCCATCATTTATTTTTACATAAATTAAAAGAACTTTTCTCAGAAAATGACCCACATCATTTGATTGTCCACAACTCATTTTAGATTTTTTAATGTATCTTTATTAAGTAAGCTTTTAAGCAGGGCTAAGCACCTTCATCGAATCAATAATCAATTTTAGATTCAAAATAAATTCCAAATAAGATGTAATCAAACTACTCCCTTCCCGTAATCTGTGTTGCTAATTACAGAGTGAGGCTTTGGGGAGCAGTTCAACTCATATCCAGATAATCTCAGCAACAGGCATGTTTGAAGTCCTTGAATAGAGGCTTGCTACTTAGTTACAGAGACAAATTGTGAAATATTATCAGATTTGCAACAGTATTTAAATTCTTGGGAGGGAAAGGCAGGGCTGCACAGTGGCGCAGTGGGTAGCGCTGTTGCCTTGGGTTCGATTCCCGGCTCGGGGTCTTTCTGCACGGAGTTTGCATGTTCTCCGTGGGTTCTCTCCGGGTTCTCCAGCTTCCTCCCACAGTCCAAAAACATGACTGTCAGGTAAATTGGCCTTCCCAAATTCTCCCTAGGTGTGAGTGTGTGTGCATGGTTGTTTGTCCTGTTTTTGTCTGACCCTGCCTCTCGCCCAGAACGGAGCTGGAGATAGGTACCAGCACCTCCCGACCCCGTTAGGGAGAAGGGTGATCAGAAAATGGATGGATGGATGGAGGGAAAGGCACTGAGGTGGTGGTGGGAGAGAAAAAAAAACTTAAAATCCCTAGGGGGGGGCATGACAGAAAATAGTTGAGAAACACTGATCTAAAGGCATAATAGCATGTGGGGCACAAAAGCAATAGGTGTCACATTTCAAAAATTAAAAAGTTTCAAAAAAATATTCATACATGTGAGACATTCAATAATAAATCTGATAATGGTATCAGCTTCCATCATAATATTGAAATAATAATACTACTTAAATAAATATAAAGATGGATCAGGGGTCCTGCGTTATGGCTGTTTGAACAAACAAACAACCCTTTCACCCACTTTATGTTTCCATATTATGAGACGGTATCTGATTTATTTAATCTGCACATAACTGTGCTGGCTGGTACGCACTTCCAGGGGCTTATCAGTGAGAGGGGGGGTACCATGCACAGGGTGCCAGTATTATATAATTTTTTTTTTAATTGTGGTACCCTTATTGTTTTAACAGCGCACTTACAACTGATGGTCTCAAATCTTTTACTAATAATCCCACTGGGCTCAAATGGAAGAGTTTAATCTTAAACTATTCCACGAAATGCTGAAACCAGAGTTTCAGCATTTTGTTGAAACAGCATATTACACACTTCAATGTGTAATTTAGATTTTTTAATTTGCCACTCATCTTTGCCACTGTGAGTGTCGTTGTTGAACTGATCAATGTGCCTAATTAGAGCATTTTGCCTGGTCTCTTTTTCTTCTGACAATTCATTTAGCTGTTTCTCATGCTGCTTTTCAGCTTATTCGAGGGATGTTTGGAGTTTTCGATTCAACTCTTCTTCTTTTCTTTTTTTCCTCTCCTCTCTCCTTCTTTCCTCTTCTCTCCTTCTTTCCTCTTCTCTCCTTCTTTCCTCTTCTCTCCTTCTTTCCTCTTCTCCTTCTTTCCTCTTCTCTCCTTTGTTCTTCCCTGATTGGCTCATGGAAGCAGTTTCCACACTCATAATGATCATCATAGCCAACTGGTTTGTAATATTGTCCTCTATTGTAGACGTAGACATTTCGCCCATGGACAATATCATTGTAGAAATCATCAAAGGTCATACAGGGAGGCAATACTTTGTAACACTTGCAGCACTTCAGGGAGTCGCCCATGTTACTTTCCTTTGGTGATGTGTTTCCCATCTTGGAAACATTTATGGAGGACTCACGACAAA